TTCTGGTAAAGCCACCACTGCTGCCTCTCTGACTGTTGGGAGAAAGGCCGCACCACCGAAGACGAGCTCCTGGAGAGACTTTCGAATGATCACCGGTCTTTTGCCAAGCATATCCATACTAATGCAACGTACAAGGCATTAGTGGCCGGCCTCAGGTTTGCCTGGCAACGGCTATTCCGCGCCAGGGCCGCCGAGAAGCAGTTGACTGCGCAACTTCCTTTGGTTCCATTTCTGGTCTAGGACTGAATATGCCCGTTCTTTCGGGCACCCTTGGCCCAGTCCGTCTCCAGCGTTTCGGCGTGTGGTTGGCTATCCACTTCAGGACCTGCCACAACCAACCACACGGGGCAGGCCGATGTCACGAACGACACCTCTGTTTCCGACTGTGCGTAAACACCACGCGTACCTCTAGAATGCAAAGATACACGGTGTCTGGTTGTATTCTGGGAGTCCTTCGTACACACCAAAATTGCCAGAAGATGTCAAGCCAGGCTTTGAGAACCTGCTGTTTTGGCCTTCGAAGAAGGGAGGAAACAACTCCCCAAGAGGCCCCAAGAGAGCTCCAAGAGCCCCCAAGACGCTCCCAGAACGCTCCCAAGAGGACCCCGAACTGCTCCCCGGGGACCCCCGAGAACCCTCCGAGGAGACCACAAGAAGCCTCCACGAGGACTCTGACCTGCAACCAAGGCGCTGTTGCCCCGCAGCGCCGCACGGGCAACGAACACGCGGGCAACTGCCAGCGATGCAGCATAATGGGCCGGCGGAATGAGCGAAGCGATTCAATCATCATCTTGTTGTAGATCGTTTTCCGAGCGGTAGCGAGCGCCCGCCACGGAGATTATGCTGTAAGGTTTCTCGGCGCCCAGGGGGAGGGCGACGACCACATGGATTCAATCTTTCTGGGCGACGCCAACCATCGTCCTCCTTCTCGCAAATCCTCAATATACCTCACCTCCTCCTCCTCTGCCTCTTTCTTCGTTCCCCTGCACCCCGCCCCTTCGTAATGATGCGCCCACGACTGAAACAACACCTCGTGGGCCAAAAAAACACATGCTAGCGCGGCCTAAGGTCGCCACAGCCACGTGTCTCAACATCACGCGAATCATAACAAGTAGCAACACCTGAAAGGCCACAGCTCCGTAGCCGCCGGGATCGCAGTTCCCCCCTCAAGAGAGAGGGTGGGGAGTCTTCCATTCCTGATTATGGGGCTGGCCTTAGTCCTCCTTCTTGCCCATCCCCTTCCCTTTCATCGCCCATGCGATACCGATCGCCGCATGCCGTCAAGGTCCGCGCCTACACGGTCGGTTGTTGACCGCGGGGGCACTCAGGAAGGTACGAAGTGGGGCGATCGGACACAAGCAGGAGGGCGCATGTCCGCCACGGCGCTGTGCGGCGCTAGGTGATGCATATACGTATGCATGTTGGGCGCATTGCTTGTCTCATCTGCTATATTCAGGCGATGCAATGATGAGGGCCTGCCCGACGCATCGAGCCCACAATGCCATCGTGCTACAAGACCCAACCATTTGGCCTTCCACACGGAACATCCGCCAGAGACGTAGTGGAGCGCCCGAAAGCGCGTACGCATGCGAGTGTCAGAAAGACACCATGCTTGGAGAATGCTAGAGCGCCAAGCCACCAATCTTCTGGATTCCCTGAGCGCTCTTGCGCGCCGCTGGCGGTCACCGCGTGTGCTCCCGTGCAGTCTAAGTCGCCCAAGCTGACTCCAACATCCCCCGCGAGCCTTCGAAGAAACGCTCAAAAAGGGCACAGGAATCATCGAGAGGCCCCAAACACCCTGGGAGGCCCACAATAAGCTCCAAGACAGGACCGAAGACGCTCCAAAGGGAGGCCACATATAGCCAACACATGCCAAACTCCATGAGATGCCCCACTCGTTCAACACTGTAAGCATGCATCTCTGCTCTCAAGGACACAGCATGGCAGTAGAGAGCTCCAAGACCGCCAACATGATGACCACCAACCATCGCAAACAGTTCCTGACGGCCCCTGGAGCCCAACTCTCGGGCGCTCCTGGGGCTTGTCGCGCGGCTTCTTGCCGAGGTCAGAACGCATTTTGATCACACGGTGTGCTTCAGTGTACGTGCAGACCCCGGAGGTGGGGACTCGAACTGGCCCGTGGAGCCCTTCGCGTGCCAGGATGGCTCCCCAAGACAGGCAGAGGAGGCCCCCCCAAGGCACCGGGGGGCCTCCAAGAGGCCGCCCCTTGGCGCTCGGAGCATTCCGCCAACATCGGGTCCTGCCAATCAACTATCCGCCACCGTGCCACTGGCACGAAGTGGAGTGTCCCAAGGCTCACAGCTGTGCTGCTGCTGCTGCTGCAGCCAGGACTGTGCTCACAGCCGTGCGGCTGCTGCAGCCAGCATCGTGGTTTCTTGAGGGCCCGGGCCACCAACTTCCCGGGCGCTCCTGGCGCTCCCGGGGTGTTTCGCATGACCTCTGGGAGGGCTGCAACGCCCCGAACGACCCGCAGACTTTCGCAGAGCTTCCTACCTGGTGCCCAAGATAATCAATGAGCGCCTCTAGACGGCCCAAGGTGACCCACAGACCGCCCAAGAGGCTGCCAAGACGCCCAAAGATGCCTCCAAGAGGCGTCCCCAGAGGGCTCCAAGAGGCAAAAGTCAGACCTTTTTGGTTTTTGAAGGCTTTTGGGGTACTCGCGTTTTCGGCTTCCCGACGCTCCAAGACGGCCCAAGAGGCCCCCAAGATCGTCCCAAGACGGCCCAAGAGGCCCCAAGACATCCCCAGGGCAGCCCAAGAGGGCCCCAAGAGGCTCCAAAAGGCCTCCAAGACGGCCTCCCAAAACGGCTCCCACAGGGGGCCCAGACAGGATCTCCCAACGGACATGTCGAGCCCGCGGCCCGAGAAAGGCCCCAGGAGGCCTCAAGAGGCCCCATGGAGGTCCCCAAGAGGCGCTGGGAGGCTCCCAGGAGGCCTCCAAGAGGACTCCCAAAAGGGCCCCAAGACGCAAACATCCCAACGAACAACCTATAAAGGCCTACCTATACGACCACCCTGCGGGTGATAAGGAGGTCAGGGGGGAGGGGGAACCAACGTCTCACTCAATCGATCTCGCTATCGATCTCACAATCAGTCTCACATTCGATCTCACTATCGATATCACTGTCGATCTCGCTATCGATCTCACTATCGATCTCACAATCGATCTCACAATCGATCTCACATTCGGTCTCACATTCGGTCTCACTGTCGATCTCACTATCGATCTCACAATCGATATCACAGTCGATCTCACAATCGATCTCACGACGACGACGAGCAACATCGTCATCATCAACATCATCATCATTATCATCATCGGGACACCATCATCATTACCATCATCAATCATCATCATCATCATCATCATCATCATCATCATCATCATCACCATCATAGTGATCATCATCGGGACACCATAATCATCAACATCATCATCATCAACACCATCATCATCGGGACACCATCATCATCATCATCATCATCATCATCATCATCATCATCATCATCTCATCATCATCCTAAACATCGTCATCATCATAATAATAATCATCATCATCCTCATCCTCATCCTCATCATCATCATCATCATCACCATCATCATCATCATCATCATCATCATCATCGGGACACCATCATCGTCATCATCATCATCATCAACATAATAATCATCATGATCATCACCATCGGGACACCATCATCATCATCGACATCATCATCATCAACGTCATCATCATCATCATCATCATCATCATCATCATCATCATCATCGGGACACCATCATCATCAACAACATCATCATCATCGTCACCATCATCAACATCATCATCAACATCGTCATCGGGATACCATCATCATCAACATCATCATCATCACCACCATCATCACCACCATGATCACCATCATCACCATCATCACCATCATCATCTCACAATCGATCTGACTATCGATCTCACAATCGATCTGACTATCGATCTCACAATCGATCTCACATTCGGTCTCACTATCGATATCACAATCGATCTCACAATCGACGTCATCATCATCATCATCATCATCACATCATCATCATCATCATCATCATCATCATCATCATCATCATCATCATCATCATCATCATCATCATCATCATCATCATCATCATCATCATCATCATCATCATCATCATCATCATCATCATCATCGTAATGATCATCATAATCATCATCAACATCATCATCGGGACACCGACGGGACACCGACGGGACACCGGCGGGACACCGGCGGGACACCGCGGGGCTCCGGCCGCCCGGAAGGGAATCATTTGGTCCGGACGCGCCTCAGCCACACGGGACACCAGCGGGACACCGGCGGGACACCGCGGGCCACCGGCCGCCCGGAAGGGAGTCATTTGGTCCGGCCGCGCCTCAGCCACCGGAGACTTTCTCTCGCCCGCCCACGCAGCTTCGCCTCGCCCGCACGCACGGCACGCACGAACACGAAACCGCAATCGATTTCCCGGTAGGGGGGCTCTCCGTTCCACTTCGATCTCACCCCCTCACCTCCGATGACCCACAACCCAGGCAATGTGGCGGGATGGGCCGAAGGTCATTCGATATTTCCTTTTACCTGTGATATTTGTTTGTCTCTCTCTCTCTCTCTGTGGCTGTGTGTTTGTCCCCCTCTGCCGCCTGCCGCTGCACCAACCACGCCTCTCTGCTGATTTCGGCCCCTGCCAGACCTCTCCTGCATGGCAGAGTCCACTGGGTCGATGGGGAAGGAGAAGGAAGAGGGAAAGCAAACAAGAAGTGGAGCGGAGGGCAGGAGAAAGAGGGGGGGTGTAGAAAAACGGGGTTGCCCAAGAGGAGGAGGAGGAGCAGGAGAAGGAACAAGTGGAGGGAAGAGAGAGGAGGGAAGAAAGAGGAAGGGAATGGAAGGAGGAGTGAGCCGTCAACGGGAGCGGCGGGGAAGGAGGGACGGGAAACGCGGCTCGGGGGTACTGTTGAGCACGGGCACCACCAGCCAGATTGAGGAGCATCTGCTGCCCGTGCGGCAGGTACCTGGTCTGCGCCCGCTTGGCCACCCCATCGCGCCACTCTACGGGCGGTCGCGCGGCACTTCCTGCTCAGGTGCCAGTCCCATGTTGCTGCTCATCCTCCATCTCCTCCGCCTCCTCCTCCGCCTCCTCCTCCTCCTCCTCCTCTGTCTCCTCCTCCTCCTGTTTCTCCTCCTCCTCCTCCTCCGCCTCCTCCTCCTCCTCCTCTTCCTCATCCCCCTCCTCCTCCTCCTCCTCCTCCACCTCCTCCTCCTCCTCCTCGTCACTCCTCCCTGTGCCCCTCTGTCCACTCCCCTATATCCCTCTGATCTCCGCCGCCCGAGCTCACGCACGCCACCAAATGCGGTCCGCGGTGCCGCGCTCGTCTTCCTCCATTGTGTGTTGCACTTGCGATTCGCTCCAGACTTAGAATTGCCCGCGTGGTAGAATGCTTGCTTCGACTGGGTTGTGATTCCTCGGCTGCGCCGCCAAACTCGGCTTCCCGGAACAACGTCTGACCAAACTCCATCTGGCTTTCCTGGCCCCTTGTCGTCAGCGCGGTTCTCCTTACATGTGTCCTTCCCCATTGCTTCAGCTTTCGATCGCCGGCTTGCTCCCAATGAAGGGCCACATGGAGCTGAAGCAGAGCATGGCAGCCTGGCGTTGCCACAAACCAGTTACCAAAAAACAAAGGATAAGGAACACTTGGTAATTGTAGCCGATGCCGCCTCGCCGATGACATACTCCCTTTGGACAGGGAACACAACACGGCAATATTGTTCGCCATCCTAGCGGCGCGTCCCAGCCCACAGATAGAATAACATCGATGGTCTCACGCAATTCCTTCCCAACGGGCCCCTACACGCGAGTGCCTGGAAGAACCCTGTTCCAGCCACCACCAGTTGCCCCCCCCTTCCCTCATCTGCCATAGCCTTAGTGAGGAGGGAACAGGGATAACAGGACCTGGCCTAGAATATGCAAGTGGACAGCTTATACGAGGTGGTAACGGCGCTCAGGGAGACACAGCCTGCGAAACCACATCACACGGAGCACTGCCAGCGCGAAAACGATGTACGAGGATCGTGCCGAGCGCTCCGCGACCATGACGCTGTCGGTGCAAGACGAGCCCACTCCCGAGGGAGCGCGCAGACATTAGGGGGAAAACAAATCTACCTCGCTTTTGACCACCCTCGCTTCCAAGAGATACCAAGTGATGCCAAACTACGGCCTGTACTGGTCAGGTCGCTTGACGAGGAGGCGCGTGGTATGACTTGGTTTTTCCTGGAAGCGAAAGCGGGGTAGGTAATTCACGCTCTGAGACATGGGCACAACATCCTCTCCGACAAGTGCCGCCAGAAGTAAGTGCGCTGGTCATGGAGCGCACACGTGAAGAAAGACCCGCAACGCATCCCCCCCCCTATTCCGCTCCTGCACTCTCCCCCCCGTGGCCCCCCGCCTCGGAGGCGCAGCGTCGCGGAAGCAGGGCGGGCGCGCGCGCGCACGGGGGCCGTGGCGCCGGGCCCCCCGCTCTCGGGCGAGGCTGGGCTCGGCTTGCATGTGCAGGGCGCGCGCCAGCGTGGACCAAGGCTCCGTGGATCCGGCGCGAGGACGCTCGACACCACGGATCGGGGAGGGCCCCCCACGAGACATCGGTCGTCGACTCCGCGCGGAAACTGGACCCGTCGCCACTCCACGCGCCTCGATCCACGTCGGCGCTTCCCCGACTGCCGAATCTGCGCTCGCTGCATGGAAGCTTTCAACTATCATCCAAAATGTTGGTGGATTCGCGGCAACCCGCGGCAACGGCTTAGCGGCAAAGAGCGGCACGCGCCCAGCGCCCACCGCCATCCAATTGACCCCCAGTTCGCCACGAATGGCGGCGAAATGCTCTCCCCAAAAACACGAGAAATCCAAGGCTTCCATTAAGTCGAGCCTGTCCTTCTTCAGGAGGAGTACTCTAATTAGTTTTAGAAGAATAGTCTTGGGAGGATGTGTTGATTATTTGTTGGCTAGTTTCGATTCGAACATGTTCAAACGATGTTCTACTTTCCTTCCAACAACCGCCTGTATGGAGGGACATGCCTGACCTAACGCTTCCATGAAAACAAAGGTAAACCTCTGGAGCGTCTGCCAGGGCTCCCCTCTTCTGGGCCGTTTTGGAGGCCACTCTGGGCGTTTTGGAAGCCTCTTGGGCCCTCTCGGGGCCGTCCTGCGAGTCTGGTGGGCTGATATGGGTTCTCTGTGAAGGCCTCCCGGGCGCTCTGGGGGCGACCTTGGGGGGGAAGCGGAGGAGGAGGAGGAGGAGTAAACGGAGGAGGAGAAGGAGGAGGAGGAGCAGGAGGAGTAGGGAGGAGGAAAGAGGAGAAAGAGGAGAAAGAGGAGGAGGAGACCCACCGGCCGAAGAAAACGAAGGGCGGCCACGAGCACGAGACGAACGAAAGAGAAGTCCAGGAGTCCCACGAGGCGTAACCGCAACAGCTCTGACAAAGAGCTTGGACGACGAATCGCAATGCTCCCAGCCCGACCCCCATGCAGCCATGTGGGTACGAGGCTTTCTGGCATCAGGCTCCTGAGGGCCCCCACGCTGTGGATTAGCAGGGGGAGTATCTCCACCTTCATCATCATCATCATCATCATCATCTTGGCCAGGGTCGGGCTCCGGTCGGTGCTGATCGCGACCTCCAGCTCCAGGAGGGCCAGCTTCGTAACCATCATCACGCGGGCGGTGTGCGCCAGGCAGCAAGCACCACATCTTGATCTCACTCCGTCCAGAACTGTGCCAGTGTCCGCGGTCGGTGGCCACGGTGCCCAGAGTGTGCGCCTCCATGGCAGCAGGTGCAACCAACACAAACAAAATGCTACGATGTTCATCAGGAGCGGCATCAGGGAACGGCTCCACGGTGACTTTTGCCTGGACTCTGGTGTCATTGATGCCTAGCGAGACGTGGACCGCATGCCCGTCCTCGGTGCATTGGCGAAGATATCGAACGCGAGGAGAAGAAACCATCGCACGCGGCCCGGCGCCCGTCAGCGCAAAATGCGCTGCCCCAACTGCGCGTCCAAGCCAGAGCCGGGGCAGCGGCTTGGAGCAGGAGGAGGAGGAGGAGGAGGAGGGGGAGGAGGAGGAGGAGGAGGAGGAGGAGGAGGAGGAGGAGGAGGAGGAGGAGGAGGAGGAGGAGGAGGAGGAGGAGGAGGAGGAGGAGGAGGGGAGGAGGAGGAGGAGCGCGCACCGTGCGGGCCAGGCGAGGCGCCCAGGGCCAGGCGAGGCGCGGCCCGCGGGGCACATCACGTTGGGCGACTTGGACAGGGCGTCGGCGATGTCCTTGGCGGCGTCGATGCGGCGCACCTGGCGGCACACGGCCACTGGAGGCCTCCCAGCTGTCGGCGGCGAGCGAGGGGGGGAAGCGAGAAGGGGCGGGCCTCCTCAGAAGGCTCGAAATTCCCCTTGCCTTCCGAGAAGGGTCGGAAGTCCCCCGACCGTCTGAGAAGTTCCGGAAGTTTTCTAAGCCTTCCCCGAAGACGCAGAAAACTTCTCAGAAGGTCGGAGGGCTTCTGAGAAGTCCCGCCGCCTTCTGAGAAGGCCTTCTCCTTCTCATTTCCCCCCTTCGCTCGCCGCCGAAGATGGGGTCCGAGTGGATGGGGTCGGGGGATCACGCCGCATCGCCGATGCATCGACTATGCATCGGCGACGCCGGCGTGGAGAAGACCGGGCTCCACATCGAGCTGCATCGCCGATGCATCGGCGATGCGGCTCGATCCTCCGCCCCATTTACTCCAACCCCATCTGGGAGGCCTAGAGCCATGCGGCCCTTTCCTGAGTCCTCTTCGAGCCCTCGTGTGGCGTCTCTCGGAGGCCGATTGGGCAGTGTTCAGGCAACCTTCGACGTTTTTGGACGGCCTCTTCGGCGTGCTCGCGCCCAGCTGGAGCCAACCGAAATGGCATCTGGGTCATTTGGGAGGCCACGGAACGAGGATCTGGAGATTCTGGAGGCTCCAAGGGAGAAGCAAGACTCGGGTTCGCGGGACTCGGCGTGGCCTTCGGGGCCGTTGGGAAAAATGGCGACACCCAGCCTGAAACCTGACGCGAGCCCACGCTGCAAGCATGCACATTCGGGACAGGCCCGTGAAAAAGCGTCGGCAAGCCCGAGCTTCCGCGAACTCGAGCCTTAGACTTCCCCGACGCACGGCCGCATCCCCAGATCACCGACGTCGTGTTTTTTCACAACGTCGACTCCCTCCCGGGAACCAGTTTGTCGTCCCCAGTCGTTTTTTGACGCTCCCGGGGCCCGGCGAGGTCCCCCGGAGGCCGAAAATGACGAAGAACTGCCCGCCGTGATTTTTTTCACAACGCAAAGGGGGTCTGGGTCTGGGAGCGGCTGGGAGCGCGCCGCGGTCTCGGCCCGCGCGCTCGCCCTGGCGAACGCACTGGCAACGCACCCTGGGAGGGAGCCCGGGCCCCTGGCCAGCGCCAGGAGGGCGCACGGCGGGCTCGCCGCGCTGGCGTGGGCAGCGACGGAAAGCGCTCAAAACATCCGCGATGATCCTCCTCCTCCTCCTCCTCCTCCTCCTCAACCTCCTTCTCCTTCTCCTTCTCCTCCTCCTTTTCCTCAACCTCCTCCTCCTCCTCGTCCTCCTCCTTCGCCTTGTGCTCCTCATTCTCCTCCTCCTCCACCTCCTTCTCCTCCTCTTCCTCCTTTTTCTCCTTCTCTTCCTTCTCCTCTGCCTTCTCCTGCAGAGGAGAAACGCGGAGGCGAGAAGCGTGCAGACAGCGTAAGACAACTCGACTCTCTATGCGTGAGGTCTGGCTGGCGGCGCGCCGAGGGGGGTACGGGGGAGGCGGGGAGGCCTCTCAGAAGGAGGCTCCTTCTGAGGCGCCGGCCTGGCATCCAGAGATGAGGCCCGCGCCTTGTAGTAGGGAGCCTCCTTCTGAGAAGCCTTCCCCCCTCCCCCTACCCCCCTTCGCGCGGGGCCGATCCCTGCAGCGGGTCTGCTGCAGTGGTGGACAGGCGCGGCGAATACGACGGAGCAGGGGCTAAGATGATGATGAGGACGAATTCGATCGGGTAATGCCCTGATCCAGAATGTTCTCTGAAATTCCCCAACATCCGATACCTCCAAGCTGGTATCCCTGGCTAGCGTGAGGTATGATCTTCATGGGAACAAGAGAACACCTCGACCGCGATACGAACGGGTGCGAGGCAACACCTTCTGCTGGTCAAACTGCGCTGACCGAGAGAGAGAGAGAGGGAGAGATTATACATATAACTAGTATCTTTTGTGAGCCCCAATCCCGCTGCAAATCAACTCAAAACTGGACTCGACTACACCCCTGAGAAGATTCCTTCATGTGCGACTGGCCCTTGGGCGTGCTGGAACTTGTTCGTTGCGCTCACGTGCCAATGTTATCAACCGCGTCGCCCCTGAACGTGCAAGCCTCCGTCATGCAAAACACACAGAGTGTGTCTAAGTGGCTCCATACTGCTACCTATAGTAGGAGCTCGACCAAAAGAAACATTCCCCAAGAAACCCTGAGGTCCCAGGACGTCCACCCATTTTCGGTGGTGGAACGTCACGCTTTCCATAGCAGAACCATCGAGGCCCAAGAAACCCAGGGCACCCTGGCGGCAAGCAGGGTGTTTCTTGGCAAGGGTTACCACTGTATGGTGTCGATGCGCTGACCCGTGCAGCACACACACACACACCCACACACACACACACACGCACGCGGCGTGCGTGCGAGACCTCACGCCTGTGCAACGTCGGCGAGGCACCGATACGCTCGACTGGCTAATCGTGTAGCACCACCAACCGCCACCTTCGCGAAGGAGATGCGAGAAAGACCACTGCAGGCCCAGAGCAGACTCAACCAGCCGCCCCCGGGCGAGGCGCGTGCCGAGCCCCATCGACTCTCGAGAACGAGCGGAGTCGCGGATGCGGAGACGGCAGCATGGGGGGGGCACGAGGCAGAGCGCGGACAGCACCAAGAACAGGCGAGTGGGGCACGGGCCCGCGCTCCCACGAGGCGCCGAGCCCGGTGGCCACAGGAGAGCCAACGACGAGAGAGGGCACGGCGAGCCCTCATAGATCCGAACGTCGTCCGCAAGCCCGCCCCCCCGCCTGCGGACCGCAGCCAACCCGACCCAGGCCGAGGGCGAAACGGGCCTCTGATGGCCGCTCCCGGCCGCCTTCGCGGGCGGGCGCGCGCAAGGCTGCGACGTTGCAGTGCAGAGAGGAGGAGGAGGAGGAGGAGGAGGAGGAGGAGGAGGAGGAGGAGGAGGAGGAGGAGGAGGAGGAGGAGCAAACGTCGCAGTGAGCGCGGCTCGACGGGTCGAGCATGCCGCTGCGCGCGCGCGCGCGACGTGGCTGCGGGCAGGCGAGGCGCTCACACGCGGCCAACGCGCCTCATGCCCGCACTCCTGGGCCCGAGCGCCACACACACGCCGTCTGCTCGGCGTTGGGTCGCGCGGCGCCCCCCGGCGGGGCCCGACGCCCGAGCGCGACCGACGAGCGCGGCAGCGCGAGATGGGGACGAGGAGAGGCAGCGCGGACGAGGGAGAAGGAGAGCCCGCCTTCGGACGCTCAGAGACATGCCAGTACTATCTGTCCTCCTTGGAGGCGCGCGTCCGACCCGATCATGTAGTAGACCCATCTTGCAGTGCATCGTTTCTCGGAAGGTGTGGCCAGAAAGTGCCCGCCACGACGCGCATACTGTAAGATTTCTCGGTGCGCGCGTCGCCCCCTGGGGGGGGGGCGACGCACACATAGCACTTGTATAGTGGGGTGACGCCGACACCTTCCGAGCGTTCGGAGTGCACCTGCGGCTGGCGCGGCGGAGACGGCCTCCACGGGGCTCACGCCCCGGAGGCCTCGGCGCCGGCCCTGCGGAGAACCGCTCGGGAGGGGCCGCAAGGAATAATGCACCCCGAGGATCTCGATGCAGCCTCCGCGCTGACAAGGACTGCAGGTGGGGGTAACCCTCTCCGACGAACCAGTCTAAACTAACCAGCCATGAAAGGGCGGCCGTTTGCCCAGACCCACCAGAAGCCTCCAAGACAACTCAAATCAGACCCCCCAAATCAGAACCCCGCCTTCTGTTATGAAATTCGGAGCGCGCACACAGGCACGCACGCATACTTGTTTCAAAGGCGAGGTGACGACACCGTCGCGATGCCCTTAACCGAGTCACGGTTTGGCGAATTTCCACCTGGCGTAGCATATGTGTGGACTGGATGGTGACAATCGCTTGCAAACAAAAACGCGAGGATGCGCATGCATTTGAAACATGCCGTTGCGGCGCTGCAAATGAAAAAGTGGCCAAGGTAGAAGGAGACGATGTGCGACATTCACGTGGTGTTTATGCGCCCACAACGGCGGACGTAGCGAACAGTGCCGATGCTGCCCGACTGTAAGAAAATGACCATGGCATTACGGCTGGTAGGAGGCCATAGCCGCAACGCACACACACACACACACACCACACACACACACACTTGGATTCTCATACAGATGCGTATGCGCGTACGACATCATTCTAAACATACGCACAATCGAATCATGGGTACGGCTCGAATCGACACTGGTGTTCGAAGTGTAGCCTCTACCAAGCAGAAGACGGAATCCCTTATCCCACTACTTCGTCCTGATGTCTGCCCGCGGGAAACCTCTATCAGCCCGCTGCCATGCTCCTTGAGGGCTTCCGAAATCATCTGCGCCGCCTTCACCAACACACCAACGAGAGCAACGTGAGAAGAGAAAGAGCAGTTCAGCGGCAGCAGGGGCAGCAAGGTAATCAATACCGTGGCGATGATCTTGGGGAGTTGGCACAAGAACTGGCATGGGAACAGGGAGCGAGCCGCAAGGGCCGAACGTGGAATCGACTAAGACAGCGGCATGCATGAACTCAAGAACGCTGCGCACGCAGAGGCGCGGCTGGAGCTTCACATTTAGAAACGGAGGTCAGCGGGCCGAAGTGTGTTCCGAGAGGCGACGAGCCAATGGGCGAGGCAGGCGCGCTCTGAACTGACGCCTGCTGCCTCCAGTACAGGAATGAGGGGAGCAAGGCAGAGGGAGGAAGGAAGAGGGCGGGGGGAGGAAGCGGACGGGACGGTGCGGAGGGGAACGGCGGGAAGGGATGGGAGCGGGCGGGAAGAGAGGGCGGGGCAGGAAGGGAGCGGAGGGTTCTCAGGGGCGAGAGAGGAGAAAAGGCGGGGAGCGTGGCGAGAGGAGTCACAGAAGGAATCGGAATAGGAATACTTATAGGACGGTGTCATTGGAAGTGAACAAACTACCCATGGACTTGCTGACGTGCTGACCGTACAAGGCCGCCCTTCAGACCAGGCATGACCTCCCCTGCTTCCGCCCCTCCCCCCCTCTCCCTCCCTTGCGCCTCGGCCTCGCCCTCAGAGCGGATGACCTCGTGCGCGGAGGGAGCAAGCGGCACTCCTCCTGCTGGTCCTGCTCCTCTCCCTGCTCCTGTCCCTGCTCCTCCCCCTGTCTCTCTCTCTCTCTCTCTCCCCGTCTTCCTCCTCCTCCCCCTCCCCCTCCTCCTCCTCCTCCTCCTCCTCCTCCTCCTCCTCCTCCTCCTCCTCCTCCTCCTCCTCCTCCTCCTCCTCCCCCTCCTGCTCCCCATGGGTGGCGCACGTCGTATGTCGTGGCGGGCGTTGAAGGTGCAAACAAGCTTACATTGCATATGGGGCCACCCGTTAGGTGATAAAGAAATGGGGGTGCGACGTTCGGTTCGCGATTGGCGCTGGACCGGTCTCGTGTTCAATGTATCTAGCGACCGTGACGCCCGTGTGATCTAGGGGTTCTCAAACCGATCGAACGGTCTCACTGCGCGTCGATATCGCGAACTACTGATAACACTATCAAACTATGTAGTGGTAGTATTTGGTACATGTGTCATTACGAAATATGGATCGTATCAAAATCATTACTTACCGGTCTCACCACGGACAACCACAAAACAAACAAAAAAACGAACACGTACGGAACAACCGCAATCTCAAAGGATAACCACAAAACAAAACCGGGACAACCACGGGACAACCACGAGACAACCTCGGGACAACCACATGACATCCACGGACGACCGAATAACAACCGCAAAACAACCGCAGGATAATAGCGGGACAACCACGACAACCACGGGGCAACCATCGGGACAACCGTCAGAAAACCACGGGAGAACCGTCATGACAATAACGGGACAACGACCGAAAAAACACAAGACAACCACGGGACAGCCACAGGACATCCACGGGACCATCACGAAACAACCACGGAACCCACGGACCAATCACGAAACCACCATCGGGACAACTACGGGGCAAACATCGGGACGACAACGAAGACAACCAAAGAAAAACCACGGGACAACCACAGGACATCCACGGGACAATCACAGGACAACCACGGGACACCAACGAACCAACCACGAAACAATCATCGGGACATCCACCAGGAAAGCCATCGAGATATCCATCGGGACAACTATCGGGACAACCATCGGGACAACCGACGAGACAAACATCGGGACGACCATCGGGACAACCGTCGGGACAACCACAAAACCAACGGGAGAACCGCGAACAACCGCGGGACAAAATCGCACACGCACCAGAAAACCTAACGCCGACTCGTGCTGGCGCGACCTGGGCCTAGATCCGCCACCGTGCCTCCTGGCACGTTGAGGCGTAGTAGAATGCCCGTGCTGTGTCGCAGGGTTTCTGCGATGTTTCTAAGGCCCCCCCCTCTCGAAGCGCCCATATGCATGCACCGCCCCCTCTCCCCGAACCTTCTCGGGATGTCTCGCACTTCCTTGGCGCTCTCCAGCGCGTCCAAGCTGCCCAAAATAGCTCCAAACCGGCCGAAAATAATCACAATATGACCCCCAACGGCCGAATGACCGCCCAAGAGATCTCCAAGGCGACCCAATAGGGCTCCCAAGGAGCCCCCAGCAAGACTGGAAGAGGCCAACATCATGGATTCTCTTCTGGTATGTGACAGAGTTTCGCATTCTCGCCTTTTCGAACTTCCATCGGCTCAAGACGGTCCCAGAGGCCTCTAAGATGGCCCCGCGACGGCCCCAGATGGCCTCAAGATAGCCTAAATAAAAGACCCCCACGATGGCATATAGGTGCACCTATACGATCACCGTGCGGGTGATAAGGAGGTTGCGGGGGGGGGGGGGGCGGGAGGGGGGGGCTCATGACGACAACTGCGGTGAATGTGGTGATGATGGCCGATGATGGTGTGGATGACGTGGCGGATTTGTTTTTGCTCTTTCGCTTGGGCGTTTTGTGTCATTTGGTTTGCCGCTGCGCGACGCGGCACTCACCCCACGACGGTCCAGTCGACGATGCGTGCACTGGCAAGGCCTGGTGCGTGCGTCCGGACCTCTCCTATCCTGCCCTGGGAGTCACGCTGGCAGCGCCTGGCGTTGACGAACACCCTCCGCCCAGCGTCGGTGGAGACGACTGGCTATTTGTGGCGGGCAGTGCCACTTGCTCAGCAGGACACCGAGGGGCCACCGACGGGACAATGCGAGCTCGACCTTTCAATCGATCTCATAATCGGTCTCACTATCGATCTCACAATCGATCTAACTATCGATCTCACAATCGATCTCACAACCGATCTCACTATCGATCCCACTATCGATCTCACATTCGATCTCACAATCGATCTCACGTTCGGTGCCACTATCGAGTGCACGATCGATGCCACTATCGATCGCACTATCGATCCGACATTAGGCCTCGCATTCGGTATCACAATCGATCTCACTTTCGGTGTCACTATCATTTTCACGATCGATATCACTATCGATCTCACTATCGCTCTCACGACAGGACAACGGCGGGCAACCGACGGGACAATGCGGGCTACCGCTTGACACGCGCCGGCGGGGGAAACATTTATGTTGGCGAACCACTAGCGACAGACAGGACAACGGCGGGCGACCGACGGGACAATGCGGGATACCACTAGACACGCGCCGGCGGGGGAAACATTTATGTTGGCGAACCACCAGCGACAGACAGGACAACGGCGGGCAACCGACGGGACAATGCGGAACACCGGTTGACACGCGCCGGCGGGGGAAACATTTATGTTGGCGAACCACTAGCGACAGACAAGACAATGGCGGGCACCCAACGGGACACTGCGGGCCACCGCTTGACACGCGCCGGCGGGGGAAACATTTATGTTGGCGAACCACTAGCGACAGACAAGACAACGGCGGGCAACCGACGGGACAATGCGGGCCACCGCTTGACACGAGCCGGCGGGGGAAACATTTATGTTGGCGAACCACTAGCGACAGACAGGACAACGGCGGGCAACCAACGGGACAATGAGGGCCACCGCTTGACACGCGCCGGCGGGGGAAACATTTATGTTGGCGAACCACTAGCGACAGCATAATGATCTCCTCTCGCCCGCGCACGCAGCTTCGCCTCGCCCGCACGCACGACACGAACACGAAACCGAAACCGATTTCCCGGTGGCGGGCTCTCCGTTCCACTACGATATCACCCCCCAACCTCCGATACATACACACATGTAATATGAACAAATGCGGTATGCGTCTTTTGGCCTTGCCGCATGTTCCCTGGCCTCGGGCCGGGGCGTGCGTGGTCAGCCTGCTCGGAGGCCGCCGTGGCAGTTCAACACTGCTTCCCGGCGCCTAACCAGAGCCTCAGCCCAAAGCCCGCCCCTCCCCCCCCCGAGGAAGAAGGGGCGCAGACCAGGCCGCCGCCTCCGCCGCCGCCGCCCGAACCACGGGGAGGGAAATGAAGGGGGGGGGGGTGTCCAAGATAGCGTCAAGACAACCCAAGAATTAGGTCGGGCATGGAATTAGAAATAGTCGGAACTACCCAAGAATACCTCGACAATCGTTCAAAAAAACCTTCCCAGACTATTTCCTGGCATGCCCGACTTAACCCAAGAGGGCGCCTGGAGGTGCACGGCTTTCCCCGGGGACGTAGGCGACCCGAGGAGGAGGAGGAGGAGGAGGAGGAGGAGGAGGTGGAGGAGGGAGAAGGAGGGAGGAGGAGGAGGAGGAGGAGGAGGAGGAGGAGGAGGAAGAGGAGGAGGAGGAGGAGGATGGATGGATGGACAGCGCCTTGAAAGGTCGGGAAGTGACAGCACCAAAAGCTTGGGGGGGATCGACCCGAGTTAAATCGCCCTGGAGGCTCTTGCCTCGTTTTTTAGCTTTATCCTTGCGACCAGAGCCGCCATTCGCTGCTCGAAAGCGGGGGCCGAGGGAGAATCCGAAAACGCTCGCGGGACTGAGGTAACACACATCTCGGGCTTATCGTCCGCCTCTCTTGCAACATTGAGCTGAGACACAGGCAACGCCTTCACAAGCACAGCTCGCACTTTGGGGTTGGGGCCAAGCCCACGCCGAAAGCGGCTCAGGACATCCAGTCCCTCACGCGACGGCTTAACGCAGACCTCAGCGAGCTTCACGGCCCTCCCCTGTGTCCAGCCCCCGCACTTTAAGCACAGAATCTGCTGCTCACGGCAGGGGCCCAGGACGACAGCCGACCGAGGCGTCTCAAGAACCGAGCCCGACACGGCGACGAGAAGATGCCCGAGGGGGCAACGCAGCAGTTTCTGGAGAGCAGGAGGCGGGCCCCTGCAACCGAGCATGGGCCTGTCGGGTCGATCGCACACCATCCAGCAATAACGACACTGCACACCTAGTTCAGACCTCCTCCAGAGATGCCAAGTCTTCTGCAGGCGACTTCGCCCCTGGGTGGTGCATGCTGGCCAATTCGCTACAACGGTGCCCGCGTTTCGTATGTTCCTTCCGCCAGCTCAGACGACCGCTGCCTAGCCGCCGACGCAACACGTGGTTTCTACAGTAGGAGCTCGATCACAAGAAACCTTCTGCAAGAAACCCAACCCTGAGACCCCAGGAGGTCAATTGGTTTTTGGAGTGGGAACGCCACGCCTCCCACAGAAGCAAAAATCGAAACCCAAGAAACCCAGACAACCTGGAGGCAAACATAATGCTTCTCTGCATGGGTTTCCACTGTACGTCCATCGGGTGGTGAGGGTCGGCAAAGAGACGTCCTTTGCAGACCTAACTCTGGGCACCGTCCGGCGTCCCTGGGCGGTCCAGTGGATATGCGTCGTGCGCAGATCCAGATAAGACCTCGCGCTCCTAGGCGCAGCCGAGCTTCCAAGAGTCGTCCTGTTCCTGCGCCTCTGGGGGGTCCAGCGGAGTGGCGTCTTAACCTTCCCTGGGCGATGGCCAGCGGTCGGCTATCCCCAGTGCGCTGCGCCCCTGGGATTCAGCACAACGACATCCAAGGCAGACCCAAGCCAGACCTCGCTCCCTGGGTGTTGCCACGAGCGCAAGCATCCCCACTTGTCACTGGAGAGGTCCAGTGGAGTAGCGTCCCATGTCAAGGCGCCGTCGTCGTCTCTCTCTCACTCATGAGCTCAAGTACCAAAAAGCTCAGACGATACAGGCTGACACATAGCAACCGATCCATCACAATTAATCAACACTTTTTCACACTGCGGGGGAACCGTCACAAACAACTCCGCAAACCATCACGGCACCATCGCGAATCACCTCAAGCACGAACCAAGACACCATCGGGGCGACGGCAGTGACTCCTTTCCCGTAATCAAGGCCAACACACATCCGTGCTCAATTCCAGATACACGGCACGGGCGCGAAACTCGACACGTGCAATCCAGATGGGGCTGGAGTCAGCAGGCACTTACGCATCCAACATTCAATGCTACCAGCATGTCAAACAATTTCCCTGCTGGGTGTGGATGCACAATTGATCAATATGATTGCGTGGCTGATACTGGCGAGAGGTATCTGTAACGATTTCAGATCGCTTCCGAAGTGGCCACCGACATAGTATACTGGTGCTGCTTCTCTTGATGTGATAACATCGTCAACTGTTCGTCGACGTACATCTCGGTCACTGGCGTCATCTGTTCAGATTCAATCGGCTCATCGATAATCAAGCAGTCGAGAACCACGCCCTCTGAGAACAATATAGTCAGCATGAACCATTGCGCAATAAGTTCTCCAGTGTCGTTTGTTGGGCTGGCACCTGATGGTCAATCTAAACTCGTGCGTGCAGCAGAGAGATGAATGGGGGAAAGGAGAGACGGGGGAGAAAGTGGAGGGGCTTGGAAGGGAGGGAGAAGAAAAGATGAGGGCAAGGAGTGCGACGATGAGCGGGAAGGAGCGAAGGAAGGGTGCGTAGTGTGAGGTCCTCGCCTTCACATATGCGGAGCCCGGTAAGGCGGCGAAATGCGCTGGGCGCACCGTTGCCTGCCTCTCCTGCTCTGAGCGCAGCACGATGAACTTCTGCCTGTGTGTGACTGGGGGAACAGCAACGAAAGAGCATCTTCTCACCCTTCGTCTCCTTCCACTCCTCCGAAAAAAAAGGTGGTGGGGCCATCGCAACCGAGTGCTGTTGGAGAAGGATGAAAGCAGGGCGACGCTCATCCAACTCGCGGACCGTTAGCCTAGTGGATATGGGCCAACTCTCGGAAATGACCTTAGAAGCTATACCCCCCACATCTCATGATTAGCACTGCCATTGCAATACACCATCTCCGAGCATTGAACATTATCGACCCACGCACCCGGAAAGAAATACAGAAACGTAACGCATGGCAACGTGTTCAAAGACACCTGATTGGGCGACGGGCACATGCGATGCTGAAGGTATCGATCTTGATGTACCCTGCCGACGGCTGTGCTGTGCTGCACCGTGCTGAATTGCGATGTGCCATGCCGCGAGTGTGCTCTATAGCGTCGTGGATCGAGTCCTCCTTAGCATCCGAGTCCTGACCGAACTGATCTGGATCTTGAGCTCGAGCTGTCTGAACACATAGTAGCTGCCCCAGGGCTAATCGACAGAGGGGACATGCCAGGAGGACGCGCTTCGGAACGCCCCAAGGGACGCGCCGGGCGACGTGCCAGGGGACGTGCCATGGGGACGCACCGCGGGACGTGCCAAGGGGACGCGCTACGGAACGTGCCAATGGACATGCCGCGGGACGTCCGCGGGGACTTGCCGCGTGACGTGCCAGGTGGACTCGCCACGGAACGCGCCAAAAAACGTGCCAAGGTGCAATGTTGAGTGTATCGATCTTGATGTACCGTGCCGACGGCTGTGCTGTGTTGGGCCGTGCTGAATTGCGATGTGCCATGCCGCGATTGTGCTCTATGTAGCGCTGTGGATCAAGTCCTCTTTGCATCCGAGTCCTGATCGAACTGATCTGGATCTTAAGCTCGAGCTGCCTGAGCAGATGGTAGCTGCCCCAGAACTAATCGACAGGGGGACATGCCAGGAGGACGCGCTTCGGAACGTCCCAAGGGACGCGCCAGGCGACGTGCCAGGGGACGGAAGAGCTCGAAACCAAGATTTAAGAAACATCGAAATCTCGATTTCGGTGTTTGCCGGCCTCGACTCTCCCCCCTCCTCCTCTCTTCCGATCCGGTGGGGGGTTCACATCGAAATCTCGATTTCGGTGTCCGTCGGCCTGGGCTCTGGCTGAGGCTCCACACCGAAATCTCGATTTCGATGTTCGACGGCCTCAGCTCTGGTTGGGGCTTCGCACCAAAATCGCGATGTCGGTGCTCGTCGGCCTAAGCTCTGGTTGGGGTCTCGCGCCGAATCCCACCAGCCCTCTGGGCGCGAGTGGTTTAGGGAGCCCGCTCTGTTCATCCCCTTCTTCCCCCCCTACCCCCTCCCACTGGGCCTGGACGGGGGGTGGGTCCCTGGGAAGCTAATTTTTCACACCCCTCACAAGGATCGTGGCCCCGGGGGGGCTAAATAAATGCTGTCGTCTTCTTTGCCCGATCTCCTCCAAGATTGCCCCAAGACCGCTCCCAAGGCACCCAAGCGCGCTCCCAAGACGGCTCCAAGACGGCCCCAAGAGCGCCCAAGAGGCGCCCAAGAGCGGCCCAAGAGGGCCCTACGCGGCTCCAAGCCCGCCCCAAGACGGCTCCAAGTGGCCGCGGAAACTCCCAAGGACGCCTCCGAGAAGCTAAGACGGACCAAGAGCCCCCCAAGACGCTCCAAGACAGCCCCGAGAGGCGCCCTAAGAGGGCCCCAAGAAACCCAAATCATAGATTTCCCTTACGTTTTTTTCAATGGTTTTGGGGCTCCCGCATTTTCGGCTTCCCGAAGCTCCAAGACAGCCCAAAAGGCACGCGAGACCGCCCCAAGACGGCCCAAGAGGCTCCCAAGACGGCTCCAAGACGGCCCAAAAGGGCCGTCAAGACGGCCCAAGCGGCGGCCTGGCCTATACGGCCCAAGAGGGCCCCAACATGGCCTCAAGAGCGCCCACGAGGCGCCCAAGATCGGCCCAAGAGGGCCCTAAGAAGCTCTAAGACCGCCCCAAGATGGTTCCAAGTGGCCGCGGAGCCTGCCAAATACGCCTCCGAGAGGCCAAGACGGCCCAAGTGGTCCCCAAGACGCTCCAAGAGAGCCCCGAGAGGCGCCCTAAGAGGGCCCCAAGAGGCTAAAATCAGTGATGTTCCTCGGGTTGTTGCTCCAAGACAGCCCAAAAGGCCCACGAAACCGCCCTAAGACGGCCCAAGAGGCTCCCAAGACGGCTCCAAGACGGCCCAAAAGGGCCGTCAAGACGGCCCAAGCGGCGGCCAACACGGCCCCAGAGGGCCCCAAGACTGCCCCAAGACGGCCCAGAGAGGCGCCCAAGAGGCGCCCAAGAGCGGCCCAAGAGGGCCCAAAGAGGCTCCAAGACCGCCCCAAGACGGCTCCAAGTGGCCGCGGAGCCTCCCAAGGACGCGCCGAGAGGCCAAGACGGCCCAAGAGGCCCCAAAGACGCTCCAAGAGAGCCCCGAGAGGCGCCCTAAGAGGGCCCCAAGAAGCCAAAATCAGTGATGCTCCTTAGGTTTTTCAATGATTTTGGCGTTCCCGCCTTTTCGGCTTCCCGATGCTCCAAGACAGCCCAGAAGGCCCGCAAGACCGCCCCAAGATGGCTCCCAAGACTGCTCCAAGCTGGCCCAAGAGGGCCCCAAGACGGCCCAAGCGGCGGCCAATACGGCCCAAGAGGGCCCAACGGGTACCCCGGGAGGGCCTCGAAGCTTGCAAGATGGCTCCATTAGGGAGCTAACAGGGAGGAAAATAAGTGGACAACTGGTTCTGGTGGCAATCCGCCCCTGGCAAGACTTGTGGCGGCGGGGCGATGAGTCCACGGTAACTTAGGATGGCCCCAGAAGTTGTCTTGGGTCCTCGAGGAGACGATGTTGGCGGGTCGGGGTCATGCGAAAGAAAGGCCCTAAAAAGAAAACCTGTGAAACAAACAAGGATTTTGAGCGTTTTACCGTCGTCGTCCTTTTTGTCCTCTGAGCGCCTGACGCGACTAAAGCGGCCCCAATGCCGATAAAGGGCAGGCGCAGAACAGCAAGGAGGGGCCCCAGAAACCTCTGGATGGCTTCGCTTGAAGCCCAAGAAAAGACAAATAATAAGTGGACAAGCGCTCTCTGGCATAGAACTCCCGAAGACGCGGCCTCGAAAGGCCCACGGGCGTCCAACACCAGCAGCGAAGTGGCCCAAGATGCGGGCTCCTCCGCCCCCCCCCCCCCGAACGGAGAAAGAATGGAGAAAGAGGAAAGGAAGAAGGAACGGTGAAAGAGGAAAGGAAAGGAAGAAGGAACGGTGAAAGAGGAAAGGAAAAGAAGAAGGAACGGAGACATAAGAAAAGAACATTAGAAAAAACGGGAAACAATAAAAGAGAACGGAATAAAGAAACGGAAAAGAACGGAAACAAACAAAAATAACGGAAGAAAGAAACGGCAACTAACGGAAACAATAACAGATAACGGAAGAAGGAAAAGAGAACAAGGAACGGACACAAAAAAAGATAACGGCAGAAAGAGACGGAAAGGAACGGAAACAATAAAGGGAAACGGAAGGAGACGGAAAAGAACGGACACAAGAAATGAACGAACGAAACGGAGAGGAAAGAAAGAAACGGAGAAGAAAGAAGGAAACGGAGAGGAAAGAAAGACACGGAGAGGAAAGAAAAAACCGGAGAGGAACAAAAAGAAACGGAGAGGAACAAAAAACGGAGAGGAAATAAGGAAATGGAGAGGAAAGAAAAAAACGGAGAGGGAAGAAGGAAACAAAGAGGAAAGAAGGAAACGGAGAAGAAAGAAACAAACGGAGAAGAAAGAAGGAAACGGAGAGGAAAGAAGGAAGAGGAAAGGAAAGGAAGAAGGAACAGAGGAGGAGGAGGAGGAGGAGATCCCCAATCAGAAAAACCGAAATCTCGATTTCGGTGTCTGAAACCGAAATCGAGATTTCGATGTTTTTGATTGGGGTTTAGAAGAAAACCGAAATCTCGATTTCGATGTTCTTAAATATTGGTTTCGGTGTTTTTCGCCAGGAGACGTGCCATGGGCACGCACCGCGGGACGTGCCAAGGGGACGCGCTACGGAACGTGCCAAGAGACGTGCACCGCGCGACGTGCCAGGGGGACTCGCCACGGGAAGCTCCGCGGAACGTGCCAGGCAACATGCCAGGCTGCAATGCTAAGGGTATCGATATTGATGTACCGTGCCGAGGGCTGTGCTGTGCCTGGGCCACCTGGACACGTGAAAACACCCGTTTCGCTCAAGACGTTCTCAGCACATCCTCATGCTAGACATCCGCCTGGGCAACCTGGACACGTGCAAACAAGCGTCTCGATCGAGACTTCCTCGACACATCCTCATGCTAGACATCCGCCTGGGCGATCTGGACACGTGAAAACAAGCCTCTGGTTCGAGACATCCTCGACAAATCCTCATGCTAGACATCTGTCTGGGCAACTTGGAGGCGTGAAACCAAGCGTCTCGCTCGAGACATCCTCAAGACCTGGGCACGTGAAAACAAGCATCTCACTTGAGAGATCCTCTGAATTCTGGTCCCCAGGAGAAGACAATCTATAACACAAAACTAGCGTTTCGGTCGAGACATCCTCAACAAATTCTGAACAACTAGCGTTTCGCTAGGGGCATCCTGAAATTTTAATTCGCCGGCCCTCTTCCCACTCGTTCTTTATCGCAAAAGAAATCCGCCGGCCCTCTTCCCGTCAGACCCGGGGGGAAACCTCTAAAAGAGAACCCTGGGCCTGAAGCCCTTTCCGGGAAAAATACAAACCGACGAGAACATTCACCTCCCCCCTCCCCCGCGACGCCCAGGCGATTGCATCGACCGCCAGGCGCGCGATGTGCCGCCTGCCAGGAGGAGGAGGAGGAGGAGGAGGAGGAGCAGGAGCAAGAGGAGGATGGGAGGAGGGGGAGGGGGATAAGGAGGTGCAACAGCAGCAGCAGGAGAAGGAACAAGAGGA